TTCGGCCTTTTTCTTGTTTTGTTCTGAGTATCGCCCAAAAATCAAAGGGGAGCATCCCGGCCTGTCCATTGGTGATGTTGCAAAGAAGCTGGGAGAGATGTGGAATAACACTGCTGCAGATGACAAGCAGCCTTATGAGAAGAAGGCTGCTAAGCTGAAGGAAAAATATGAAAAGGTAAGGAGTATGGATTTGCTTGGTATAATGATGAATGGGTATGCTAGGCATTAGCTAATTGTACTGGATACCTCATCTTAATTTTGTATTTTGTGGATTTCTAAGTTTGAAGTATAATGCAGTTTTTAGCATAATAGCTACGCTCAGTGTGCCATTGGCTGTAGTCTTAAGTCCTTTTCCATCTTTATAAGAATATAGAAAATCAAACGCGTTGGTAATTTTTTTTTTTTTAATCTATAATTTGACTTGGGCAAAGGCCATACATATAAGTTGGGTGTGTTACTCCCCAATATCTCCAAGTCTATGAATGGTCAGGTACACAATATAAAAATAAGCTGGACAAAGTAATACAGACTGTGTTCTTCATAAACATACCCTGAAACATTTATGTTCTCTTCCTTAGATAACAAAAAACCCTCAAATTTTAAGTTAGAAAGTTAATATCTGTGTAGTAAATTGATAATGAAGAAAATGCTATAACCCTATACTTAGAATTGAAATATTAAAGTTAAATTTTGGCTTATTTAGTTGTTTTGGGAAAATGTCAATTTCTACATGTTTCTTAACCTAATTGCATGCTTATTAGCAAATTACTTTTTTTTTTTTAAGACAGAATTTTCTACTATGGATTAGCGTCTGATAATATAAACCTGTAGAATGCTTTTTTTGCATTCAGAAGGTGGCAGTGTCTACCCTTTAATCAAAGTCTCGACATGTAGTTTCAATAAACTAAAGTTAGGATGTGGTACATAATTTCACTTCATTGAGGTGTAGCATTGCACATATTAGACCATGCCATCCCATGAGCCATAAATTATTAATTACAACCATCTCATAGTATTCTTATGTGTTTCTCAAAGTCCGGGTTATTTGTGTAGTTGGAGTGAGTCTGTAGATATGTGGTATTTTAGCATAGTGGGGATCTTGATTTTTCATAAAGTTCTTCTGTTAACTTATTTCTCTCCTTACTTAAATTCACTGTTTTGTCTTTTCTGCCAATTTCTCCTGCCTTTTATTTTGGAAGGATATCGCTGCATACCGAGCTAAAGGAAAGCCTGATGCAGCAAAAAAGGGAGTTGTCAAGGCTGAGAAGAGCAAGAAAAAGAAGGAAGAGGAGGAAGATGAGGAAGACGAAGAGGATGAGGAGGAGGAGGAAGACGAAGAAGATGAAGA